TTTTGAGAACATCATTATTCAATACATTTCATACATCATGACATTACATATGACTAACTCTTTACCTTTCAGGGAAAGATACAATCAAGTTCTCACAAGTTTTCTCTGGTTCAGTCAAATCGATACTAAGATTTCTATTCCAGTTCAAGCTATGAAGCCCGGATTCGACCAGATAATATCTTGATATCTCCAAAATACTATGAAGCCTGGAATCGACCAGATAGTGGTATATATTAAATTCAAGCTATGAAGCCCGAATTCGACCGAATAATATTTTGATCTCTCCAAAATACTACGAAGCTTGGAATCGACCAGATAGTGGTATATCTTAAATTCAAGCTATGAAGCCCGGATTCGACCGGATAATATCTTGATCTCTCCAAAATACTACGAATCCTGGAACCGACCAGATAGTGGTATATCTTAAATTCAAGCTATGAAGCCCGGATTCGACCAGATAATATCTTGATCTCTCCAAAATACTACGAAGCCTAGAATCGACCAAATAGTGGTATATCTTAAATTCAAGCTATGAAGCCCGGAAATTGACCGGATAATATCTTGATTTCACCAAAATACTATGAAGCCTGGAATCGACCAGATAATGGTTGTGATGTGGTGGGAGAACTGACTTGAGGTTTTGCGTTTGTGTTTGCAAATGTTGCGGTTAGCAAGAATCACCACCGACTTTTCTTTTATCCAAAAGGAAAGGTAAAAAAGCACAGGAAAGACCTTTGAAATGTTTTCTTGAGTTCGGGGGGTAGATTATGAAAAGGGAAGGTGCTAGCACCCTTTTCATCCATGGTTTTCCATGGGCTCTTAGTTACTTGTTTAGATCACTTGCTTTGCTTTTGTAATTGTTTGAAATGGTGCTTTGTGTGGTTTTGAAAGTATTTTTGAAAAGAGGCCGTTGCTTAGGCAATCTTTGTAATGATTCTCGTTCGTAAGAATGTATACAAAGATGTTTGTCTTTTAAAAAATGTTTCAATGTTTTGAAAGATGTTTGGAAAATGTTTTGAAATGTATGTGTTTGTTTTAAAGTAGCAAGGATTATTTTGAAGTTGATCAAGTAACTAGAAGCTATCTACCTACTCAAAAGTCTTTCTTTTACATTTTTATTCCTTTGATGTTGTTGACCTACCATTGTTTTGGTAGACAACCCTATCTTTGGATGTTAAACGGGACAGGCGTGGGTCATCGTATGACCATGATAGCAATGTTGCCAAGTATCTTAGCAAGTTTTGAGGGACTAAGATCATTTGTTTTAGGCAACCTTTTGATAGCGTCATCGAGGGACTATGATATTTTATTTTGTTTTGTTTTGCCAAGATACCTTGCATGCATACCATGGCCATTTTGTTTAGGCAACCAAGTGGATGAAACCCTAGAGGTGCCTGTGTGCAATGTGTTGTCATTTTACATGCTTTTTTGTCTTGGATTAGGTCTTATCTATTTGTTTGATTTTTGTCTTATCATGCAAAGCCCTAGTTTACTACGCAATTATATAATGCGATAAATTGCGTAAAATAAATCTAAACTATTACAACAATTATTATGGGAGGGGGGATACAAGTTTTGAATGAGAATATTTGCACAAAATAAAACCCTAATTTACTATTACAACCCAATTGAATTTATTATACAATAAATAAACAATTATTTAAATATGCAATAAAATGTAAATATGCAAAAAATGTTTTGTATTTCTTTTATGTATGAGGAAAAAAATTATTTAAGTCCTAAAAAATAAGAAAAAAATAACATTATTATTTTTGAAAGGGGAAACCCTAATTTTTGATTTAAAGGAAAATATTGTTTTCTAATATTATTTTTGTCCATTTTTGTACAAGAAATAATAAATAATATTATTAATAAATATTAAAAATTAAAATATATGTGTAAATAATATTTTATGTGTATGAATAATAAAAATAAAAATGTATGATATTTTTAAATATATTTACTATTTATTTAAGAAAATAAAGTTCTATTTATTTGAATAATCAATATTTTATGCAAAAATAAGATAAAAAATAAAATAAAAATGCAAAAAATTAAGAAAATATTTTTGGGATTTTTTAATGTTCAGAAAAAAATAATAAAGTCAATAAACATAAAAATATGAGGAAATATGTAAAAATATAAAAATATGCAAAAGGGGTGCATATAGGAATATGAGGGGTGTGAAAAACAACAGGCCCAAGGCGCCAGGCCCAGGAACTTCATCTTCATCCCTGTCCTTGGCTTCTTCGCGCGCGCTTTTGAGTACAAACTTGTATCTTGCTCTAGCTTGCATAAAATCAAAAACTCATAACATAAAAAATGTAGCTTATGATCTCACGATTCCAGTGATATAAAATTCATGACCTAACTCTAAAAGACCAGGGAGAATTTCAGTGGCCCTAATTCCTGACCTAATTTTTTTAGCATGTTCAACAATCAAATACTCTTAGCTCAGTTAATATAAATGACAATTATGCATATGTACAACTTTAACAAGTTAAGGACTACATTTTTGCTTCACAAATCAAAGCTTAAGGATTCCTAAATAGAGAGACAGAACTTTGAAAAATACCTGGTTCAGCTGAGTTTGGATATGGCAATGTGGGGACTTTGAGTGAGGCCTGAAGATCGTGTGAGCTTCCTTGAAGTTCCCTCAAGCTATTCCAATGCTCAGCTTGCCTTGAGGATGCTTGAAACTCCCTGCACGAGTCAACCTGCAACCTTCCAAAATGAAAATGGTGACGTCTGAAATAGGGCTCACAGTTGCAAGATGAAGGTCTGGATAGTTTAGGTAGGATGTATGTAAAGTGTTTGAAGTCTTAAAGTGAGAAACGCACAAGCCAATATTGATTTGACAAGGGTTCTGCAGAAGATGCCCTGTTTGGGCAGAAACTTGTGTTTTTGGTGTTTGAGAGTGTTTTGAATGTTGTGAATTCGTGTCTTAGGCTTGTAACAAGTTTGTGAGATTGTTTAGAATGAAGCCCAATCTTCTCTTTATCAGATGGACAAGTTATCTTGACTTTTGCCAATTTGCTTGCTTTTGAAGAAAGTTGACATGACTTATGCCAAAGGCCTGTACAGGCTTGCTTGCTAGCTGCATAGAGTTGGTACAAGTTGCTTGTTTTCTGTGGAAAATGCCTGCATCTAAGGAACAAGTCCAAGGCTCAAGGCTGATAAAGTGGAAAAGGCTTGCTTTATCAAAATGGTATTGTGAACTTTATGCCATTTTTGGATTAATCTTTTGTACAATGCTCCAAAGATCAAAATAAAGCCAATATCCATTGAGTTAGCATTAAATTAAGGAGTGTAGAAGTGATTTAGGACCTGTAATGCAAGGTACAAACATGCTAGGAACTGATTTTCAACTTGTAACATTGTAAACATGGCTTGAATAAAAGTGACAAATTGCCATTTTCTCTTCTTCGATTCTCCCTAACCACAAATGATCTTGGAGAGTTCTTGGACATTTTGGAAAGCTTGTAACATTCTCTACAATCCGTATTTGAAATGCAACTTGAGATACCTCTTGGAACTAGGTGAAAATTTGCCATGAAGTTAGGTCAAAAACCTGCCTAAACTAGGGCAAAATTTCACTAAGTTAAAAAGTTCATGGACCCCTATTCACAAAATCATAAATTGAGATCCAAGCATCTTTTGGGAAAACTTTGTGAATCAAAGTTGTAGATTTCATGGAGTACTACAACTTTCATGGTTGAAGTTTTCTTTGAATCCAATTGCATCATGGTGAAAAAGTTGTGGAAAGTTGGGAAAAAATAAGAAAATTTCCATACTTAGAAATTTTCTAAGTTATGAAAATTTTTCAAATTAAAACCCTAATTTGCAAAATTGATTTTCTTGATCAACAAGTTTCATATTTTGACATATCTTGATGAATTATGACCCTTGGCACTTGATTTTGACCAAAAAGTCAAAGTTTGACATTTCAGTATACAATTGACTTTTGATCAGTTGACTGCAAAATTCATCTGTCAATCCCATGCATTTGAGATCTTTTGAACTATGTGATTAGGTTAATATGATTCTATTGAGTCCTTGAAATCATGCTTGAACCCAATTGTCCATTGGCTAGGTTAAAAATCAGAAATTGCCCTTTCTTAGTCAAAACCCTAATTTTGACCATTTTGCCCTTTTGATGATTTGATCAAATTTCTTGAGGAGTTGTGATCCAAACTTGATCAAATGGTTAATAGGAGCTTATAATGTTGTTCTGGATCAAAAATTATGAAGTTTGACTGTAAATTGGCCATTGTTGACTTTTTCCCCAATACAACTGATTTTTAGGTCAACTGTCCAATTGATTGGGCAAAAATGTGATTCAAGGATTGAAACTTGGTATGAACAATCTTAGGGGTCCAAGATGGTGTATGAAAGTCACATGAAGCATTGATGGTCCAAAAATCCTTGTGCAAACTCAAACCCTAATTTCAGGTCATCAGTGCAAGGTGATGTCTTGAGCCGAGCAAACCCTAATCTGGTCTTGAGTCCAAGAAGTCTTGTGAGGAAAATCTTGATAAATGAGAGGGAAAATTTTGGGGTACAACAGCTTCCCCTGTTCAATATTCTTGAACCTGTAGAGTTAGATTGGCGAGCTTTTCCGTTCGTGACTCGAAGGTAAAAGACGATTGGACACTAGAGTGTCCGTAAATTTGTACTCGTCAAAATGTAGTTGAGGAAATGAACTTAAAGATGCCATTTGGAGATGTGATAGAATCTTGTTGGAGATGGGCTTAAAGATGTCATCCAAGTATGTTTGCTGAATTGTAAGTCAAAAGTCAGAAGAATGAGTATCAGAATGGTGTCCGTATGTGGAACGTATCTGAATTGTATCTAGAGACTGAATCTGAATGAGCAAAGGAATAGCAGCCGCGTCTGGAGCGTATCCGAGCTGTGAATCTAAATAAGTAACAGAATGACTTCCGTGTCTGGAGTGTATATGAACTTTGTTATCTAAGTAAGTGACATAATAGCATCTGTGTCTAGAGCGTCTCTGAGCTGGGGAAAATTATAATAAGTGACATAATGGCAACCGCGTCTGGAGCGTATCCATACTGTATTTGAATGTTGAGGTCTAAATGAGTATCAGAATGACTTCCATGTCTAGAGTGTATCTGAACTGTATCTGATAGTTGAATCTGAATGAGCAATAGAATGGCTTCCGTGTCTGGAGCGTATCTAATTTGTATCTGATAGTTGAAATCTGAATAAGTATCAGGATGACATCCGTATCTGGAGCGTATCTGAACTGTATCTGAAATCTGAATAAGTGATAGAATGAATTCCGTGTCTGGAGTATATCCGTACTGTATCATGATTGTATACTGTTAATGGTAGCTTGTTAATCTTATCCTGAAAAGGATAAAAGGTTAGTTGAAACACAAAGTTATGTTGCATGAAAAGTATGATGCAATATATGCGTTTTATCAATGTTTATGATATATGAATGTAATGTATGCGCATGTAAGCTGATTTGCTGTATTGTGGAGGAAAATAAATCCTTGACAGCTGGGGATAATAAAAACCCTTGACTGCTGCCGGGGAAAATAAATCCTTGACTGCTGAGGATGAGAAATCCTTGGCGACCGTTGGGGATTAAAAATCCCTGATTGCTGATGGTAAGAAATCCTGGGCTGCTGAGGATTAAAAAAAATCCTTGATAACTTCTGTGGGGATATGAGGATCCTTTATGTCTTGAAGTTGGAGTATTGACGAGAAACCTGTTGTGAGGGTAATGCCAAACTGCTTGAGAAATCTGCTTGGGAAATCCAGAAAATTTTGATGACTTCTACTGGGGGTTACTCAATGGGTATCCTTATTCTACTGGGGAATAGGGATAAATTCTGATGATTTCTGCAGGGAATTAAGAATGATAATCTTCATTCTGTTGAGGTGTAATGAACACTTTGGCGACTTCACTGGGGAATTGAGAATGATAATCTTCATTCTGTTGAGGAGTAAAAACTCCGTGGGGGAGAAAGCTTACTGTTGGAGGGTAAATTCAGGAGTTTTCGGTCGTCCGCCACTCTATTGGGAAGTTATCCTAGGTTGGGGAGAGACAAAAGTTAATTGTTATCTGGTTGACTTCCAGGCTTCAAGATAACTTGCTGGGGAGATTGGATTGACTGAAAGATTTTCGCTGGGGATTGATAGTTTGAAGTTTTGACTCGACTGGGGAAGAAAGTTTCAGCTCCGCTGGGGATCTGTAACTCAAAGTTTTTGCTCCGCTGGGAATTGGTATTTTAAAGTTTTAATTCTGATGGGGATCAAGGGTTTGAAATTATAACTCCGATGGGGATATGTATTTCAAGGTTTTAGCTCCACTGGGGATCTAGATGATGTACTGTGGGGATTGCTCCTGGAATAGTCTAAAGACGTTTTTCTATCCTTTCAATCTGTCAGTTATTATTCTTTTCCACCTGTTTATTTGTAAACAGTAATTATGTTCAAATGCATATGTTCATAAATGAATCATTGGACGTTTTGGCGCATAAAAACACAAGCGTAAAGAGAAAAGGACAAATAGTTTTCTGTACTTTGAAAGAGATATCTTTGTATTTACTTTGAATAAGTGTTTTGTACAAAGGAGACAGACATCCTAGTAAGAGGATCATGTCATAAAAGTAAGAAAAATTTATACAAAGAAAGATAGCTATGTGTGTAAAAATCCTATGGGGTTTCCATTTTGCTATAGCCTTCGTAACTCTGAATATCTTGTCCATCTGCTGCTTCGTCCGAAGATGATTGAATTGATCAGAAGCTCAAAGTTTATCAGTGAAGAGATTGTCCTTAAACTGATTTGACGAGACATAGTCATACGCTTTAATTTCCTAACTTTTGCCTGGACCGCCCTTTCGGGTTTTCAGCCCACCGGGAAAGTCTTTTTTGCCCAAGTCGCCCTTTCGGGTTTTCAACTTGCCGGGTGTACAAATTTTTTTGTTTTATCCCTAATTTTTTCCTGAACCGCCCTTTCGGGTTTTTGATTCACCGGGATGCCCTTTTTTTGCCTAGGTGTGTCAACTTAGCAGGTCTTTTATGCGTAGTATCTTTTGACTATGTCTGCGTTTGCAGGATGCGGAAGGTCGTCGCCGTCCATGGTGGTTAAGATCATTGCCCCACCAGAAAAGATGTTCTTGATTACAAATGGTCCTTCGTAGGTAGGAGTCCATTTGCCCGTGGGATCACTTTGCGGCAAGATGATGCGCTTGATTACCAGATCCCCGACTTGATATGTCTGGCGTCTGACTTTCTTGTTGAAAGCTTTGATCATCCGTTTTTGATACGTCTGACCGTGGAAAACAGCAGTAAGTCTCTTCTCGTCAATTAAGTTTAGCTGATCAAGCCGGGTCTGAATCCAATTGTCTTCACTCAAACCAGTATCTTTCATGATTCTCAAAGAGGGAATCTGAACTTCGATAGATAAAACAACCTCCATGCCATATACCAAGGAATAGGGTGTTGCCCCAGTTGATGTGCGTGCCGTGGTACGGTACCCGTGAAGAGCAAACGGTAGCATTTCATGCCAGTCCTTGTAGGTGACTGTCATCTTTTGTATGATCTTCTTGATATTTTTGTTTGCAGCTTCGACAACACCATTCATCTTTGGCCGATAGGGAGATGAATTATGATGTTGAATCTTGAACTGCTCGCACAAGGCGGTGCTCATAGTATTGTTAAGGTTTGTACCATTATCAGTGATGATCCTTTCGGGGATACCGTACCGACAAATAAGGTTCTGCTTGATGAAGGGGGCAACAACATTCTTAGTAACGAATGCGAAGGATGCTGCTTCGACCCACTTGGTGAAGTAATCAATGGCCACCAGAATGAAGCAGTGTCCATTGGATGTTGTAGGCTTGATCTCTCCAATCATGTCGATTCCCCACATAGCGAACGACCAAGGAGCTGTTAAGACATTTAGAGGAACAGGAGGAATGTGCACCTTGTCTGCATAGATTTGACATTTGTGACAAGTGCGGGAGTGTTGAAAACAGTTAGCTTACATGGTAGACCAGTAATAGCCTGCCCGTAGGATCTTCTTTGACATCGTATACCCGCTAAAGTGAGTGCCAAAGGTACCTTCATGCAATTCAGCCATGATCCTTTCATCTTCAGCTTTATCCACATAACGGAGCAAAATAGAATCGTGATTGCGCTTGTACAGGATGCCATTGCTTAGGAAGAACTTAGCTGAGAACCTCCTTAAGAACTTTTTGTCATTGACTGAAGCTCCTTCAGGGTATTCCTGAGCCTCAAGATACCTTTTGACTTCATGAAACCATGGTTGGTCCACTACTTCATCGGTATTAATCTCGTGACAATATGCAGGTTCGTCCATCCGTTCAATGGTAATTTGGGGAGCCTTATTATCTCAGTTAAGTTTAAACATGGATGACATTGTAGCTAGAGCATCTGCTAGCTGTTTTACTTCTCGCGGGAAGTGCTCGAAGGTAATCTGCTCGAAATGTGGTAACAATGTCAAGACATGTTCTTTGTAAGGGATGAGGTTTGGATGCTTAGTATCCCACTCTCCTTTGATCTGACTGATGACCAAAGCTGAGTCCCCAAACACATCTAAGGATTTGATTCCCAAGTCTATGGCAGCCTTGAGTCCAAAGATGCAAGCTTCATACTATGCCATGTTGTTCGTACAGTTGAAGCAAAGTCTGGCGGTGAAAGGAGTATGGCAACCTTCTGGGGATATAATCACAACACCGATACCGTTACCAAGGGAATTGGAGGCCCCATCAAAGTACAGGGTCCATCGGGATCCTTGTTCAGGTCCATCATATGGTATGTTCTCTTCAATGTTGTCCAATGCCATGATGTCTTCGTCAGGGAAGTCGAATTTCATGGATTGGTAATCTTCAACAGCCTGATGAGCCAGATGATCGGCTAGTACACTCCCCTTTATAGCTTTTTGGGTCGTGTACTGTATATTGTATTCTGTTAGGATCATCTGCCATCTAGCTATTCTTCCAGATAAAGCAGGCTTCTCAAAGATGTACTTGATCAGATCCATCTTAGATATCAGCAAAGTGGTATGAGTCAACATGTACTGCCTTAGCCGGCGAGCAGCCCATACCAAAGCGTAGCAAGTTTTCTCGAGTAGTGAGTATCGGGTCTCACAGTCGGTAAAATTTTTGCTAAGGTAATAAATGGCATGCTCTTTTTGGCCAGACTCGTCATGTTGCCCCAGTACGCACCCCATTGAATTCTCTAGGACGGTCAGATACATGATTAGCGGTCTTCCCTCGACGGGTGGCATCAAGATAGGAGGTTCTAGATAATACTCCTTGATTTCATCGAAAGCAATTTGACAGTCATCATTCCATTTAACTACTTGATCTTTCTTCAACAGCTTGAAGATTGGTTCACAGGTAGATGTTAGGTGATAAATGAACCTAGCAATGTAGTTTAGGCGTCCCAAGAAACCTCTGACCTCTTTCTCAGTGCGAGGAGCAGACATTTCTTGTATAGCTTTGACTTTAGCAGGATCAACCTCGATGCCTTTGTTACTGACAATGAAACCCAAGAGTTTACCGGACCGGACTCCAAATTTACACTTGTTTGGGTTCAATCTAAGCTTGTACTCCTTCAACCTGACAAACAACTTTTGCAAGTGATCAAGGTGTTCTTCTTCAGTTTGTGATCGGGCTATCATGACATCTACGTAGACCTCTATCTCATGATGTATCATATCATGAAACAAAGCTACCATGGCGCGTTGATAGGTTGCCCCGACATTCTTCAGTCCGAATGGCATCACTTTGTAGCAGAACATACCCCACTGTGTAACAAAAGTAGTTTTCTCCATGTCCTCAGGTGCCATTTTGATCTGGTTATAGCCTGAGAATCCGTCCATGAAAGAAAATACTTTGTGTTGAGCTGTGTTGTCGACCAGGATGTCGATGTGCGATAGTGGAAAGTCATATTTAGGGCTGACCCTGTTTAAATCTCTATAATCCACACACATTCTCACTTTGCCGTCCTTTTTAGGCACAGGCACAATGTTAGCAACCCATTATGGATAGGAAGTAACAGCCAGAAATCCAGCATTGAACTGCTTCATAACTTCTGCTTTGATCTTCTCGGACATGTCAGGTCTCATGCGGCGGACCTTTTGTTTCACCGGTGGACAGTCTTCTCTTGTGGGGAGACGATGAACCACAATGTCTGTATCGAGTCCCGACATGTCTTCGTATGACCAGGCGAAGATTTCAACATAATCATGCAATAGATGAATTAGGCGCTCTTTGACACTCGGCTCTAGATTGGAACCTATCTTGATTTCCTTCTTGTCTTCCTCAGTTCCCAAGTTGATTGTATCCAACTGCTCTTCATGAGGCTGAATTACTCTTTCCTCTTGTTGTAGAAGTCTATCCAATTCCCCTGGCACCTCACAATCTTCCTCACCTTCGTATTCAGCTTGGTTGATCAGATCTTCAGAGTCACTAAAGGCTATAGCAGTATTGCTACCCATGGGTTCCGAAATGGAAGGGTACCTGCATTTGTGAGTGTGGGTGTGTGTAAGGGCATAGCCATCTTAAAACAACAAAATGTAAAAGAAAGACAATGAGCACAAAAGGTTTAAATATGAAAAGCGTTCATGATTCATTAAATTGACATATGAAAATGAAATAAGAACCCTTAGAAATGGACCTATGTGCCTCGGGTAAGACACAAGGTTGAAAAAGTACGAATTGTTTGTGAATTATTACAGATCCAACAGGAATGGAAAAGATAAATTACTACGGTATGAAAGTAATCGGAACAAAGTCTTTTGCTTCCAAGTTGCACAGTCCTCCGTCGACGGTAGGAAAAATTCAGTCTTCCAGGCTGCCCTCTTCTTCATTGTCCTCTAGTGCATTAACCCCTCGGTGACTGATCTTCACAGGTGGCCCTCCGGCATGGGAGAGACACACAACCTTCTGACCAGTCGAAGTAAATCCCAGGCCGAATTTGTCTGATTTGAAAGGAAAATCTGGAAGCTTCCCCTAGATTGTAGATTCGCCTTCTTCCACTACTGCCCTAGCATCCTTGAGAGATGACATTCAAGGTGGTGGTCTGGTGATCACAGGAGTTGAGGACACCACCTTGGTTGCCGCTATTTCTTCAGAAACCTCTTCAAAGTGTTGGAAATGGGTCTCTATGGATTCGCCATCTAACTCCACATAACGAAAGGAGTTCAGATGACTAACCATGTATTCCTCTTCACCGTGAACAATTATGATTTTCCCCTGGACAGGGTACTTGAGCATTTGATGCTGAGTAAAAGTGACAGCTCCAGCATGGTGGATCCAAGGTCTTCCCAACAGGCAAGAGTATGAAGGACGGATATCCATCACGTAGAATGTTGAATTGAACGTCTGGGTACCCACCTTGATCGGGATGGCCACCTCTCCATGGACCATCCTCTTAGAACCATCAAAGGCTCTGACATATTGTTGGGTTTCAGGGTTAAGCCTTCACAATCCAACCTATCCAAGGCATTCTTCGACAAGACTTTTAAAGACGAACCAGTGTCTACCAGTACCTGTGCTAGGGTTGTCCCTCTACATTCCACCGAGACATGCAAAACTTCATTATGTTTTCTCCCTTTCGAAGTTAAATCTGCATCGGAGAATCCTAGACCATTGTCAACTGTTAAACTAGCCACAGATTCCTGGAACTGATCAGCGGAGGTTTCTTGTGGCACGTGGGCCGTCTTCAAAAACTTGATCAAAGCTTTAGCATGTGCCTCAGAGCACAGCAACAAGGCTAACATAGATATTTTGGAGGGGGTCTGCCCCAGTTGTTCAACAACATCGTAATCACTTTTCTTAATTCCTTAGAATTTCTTCCATCTCTTTCTGGGATGTTTCAGGAATGACTAGTGATTGAGCCTTCGTCAAGACAGGCACCTCTTGAACATTCTTTCCTTTTTTCTCAGCAGCGGAAGTAGGGATGGGAATTGTATTGTCATTATTCGCGGGTACACTTGCAGGTACAGTTACTGGTATAGGTGTAATCTTCGGAATGACCGCGGGTCCAAAGACTACTGTTGGAGGAGAAATCTCTGGAGAAAAGATTCTCCCACTACGAGTAAGTTTTCTTGTTCTAACAATGTTACCGATGTCGGGATTATCTTCCTCAGAGCTTTCTTCTTCAATGGCCTGTTCAATCTGTTTGACACCATGGTAGTAGATTTCTCCACCATAGTTCCATGGTACCATTTATCGGTTTTGTATGGGGTTGGCCCGGGCATTGTTATGTTCAACGGAGTAGTCACTGGAGCAGATGTAATCCTAACGGGTTTTTTAGGAACCCTGGAAGGATTGGCGTATATGGTTATTATAGAAACTTCTGGAACTGGAATGGGTGAGACAAGAGCTTTCTCAAACAAAATTTCCTTGTTATCAATCAGTTGTTGGATTCCTTTCTTTAACAGAGGATAATCCAATGGAGAGGACAGGCAAGCATGGCAATCTTTGTCACAACCTAGGATGACGCCAGCCTTCGACAAATTCAACTTGATGGTTAGGAGAGGAGTTAATAGTTTATCCACAGTAGAAACAAATAGATTTTCTTCCACAACATTGGCATTGTGTCCATGCATAGGCATTGGAGCAGAGATAACATTTGACTTTTCGGGAGTTCAAATTCAACTTCCTTTGCGTCAATCAGATCTTGAATCTTGTTCTTCAGGGCCCAACAGTTGTTGGTGTCGTGCCCTGGACTTTCTGAATGGTACGCGCATCTGGAGTTGGGATGGTAATGTGGAGAAGAAGTGTTAGGATTTTTAGGGGCCTCTTTTAGCATGGTCAGGTTCAACTTCAAGAGATGTGGTAGGACTTGAGCAAGAGTCATGTTTATCTTGGTGAATTTCCTTACAGGCCTTTCCACCCTTTGCTGGTTATTTCTCGACTGATCATTTCTCGGCTGATTGTTTCTCGACTGGTCTGATGCAGACTTCTGAATCATAACGGCCCCCACTGTTGGTCATCGTTCGGTTCTTCCCTGATTCCTCTGGGCATAGACAGCAGACACTTCCTTCTTTCTAGTGAAGGGCTTTTTTATAGCAGCAGAGGTAGATGCATCTTTTTGAATTTTTCCGCTTCTAATACCGGCTTCCACCCTCTCGCCAGTTAGAATCAACTCAGTAAAACCTACAGAGGAGCTTCCAATCAGGTGATTAAAGAAAGGACCTGACAGAGTCCCCAAGAACATGTCCACTAGCTCTCTTTCAGATAAAGGTGGTTGTACCCTTCCGGCTAAATCCCTCCATTTTTGGGCGTAGTCTTTGAAACCCTCATTGGTAGCCATGGCCATACTCTGTAGCTGAGTACGGGTCGGCGCCAAGTCATCATTGTATAGATACTGTTTATAGAAGGCGGCTGCCAAGTCTTCCTAATTATGAACATCTGCTCTCTCCAACTGGTAGAACCAATCCAGCTGTGTCCCCGATAAACTGTCCTGGAAAAGGTGGACCCACAGGTCTTTGCCAGAAGAATGTGGTTGAATTTTCCTGACATAAGATCGTATGTGCATCTTAGGGTAAGACACCCCGTCGTACTTAGAAAACAGTGGCACTTTAAATTTAGGAGGGATTACTATTCCAGATACCAACCCTAACTCTTCAAAGTCCAGCCCAGGTACTCTTTGCACTTCCATAACAGCTAAACGCTCTTCCAGGTTTTTGTATTTGTCATTGGTCGGAGGATACTGTTGTTCAGAATAGTCATCATCTTCCTCTTCCTCTGCTTCAGAATCTGATGGCACTGCAGTTCCCTTTCCTTTTCCTTCCCCCTCTTCAGATGTTGATGGGAATTCCAAAGTCCGTCTGGCTTGTCCTTCAAACCTTCTGCCCATGACAACCACACCAGCTCGCTTCTTCTTCTTTTTCTCTTTCTCTTTCTCTAGTAGAGTCTTGAGCTCCTCTTTCCCCTTTGGCTAAGGTCAAGAGTAGTTGTTGGAATTGTGAATTCTGAGCTTGTAAGTCTTTGACCATTTGTTCAATATCCATCTTGCTGAAATAAACAACAGAGAGATGAGGAAACTTGGTGTGAAGACCTATTTATGCATATGATGAATGATATGTATTCATGTAATGCATTCAAGGATTCATAAATTCAAATTTGTTTTAAACAAAAAAGAAACACACGTTATATTAATAAGATAGAATTTGTTAGTACATCAATGCCCCATGGGCAAAATAATACAAAATTCTAAGGTAAAAAGACGTTACGCATCCTCTTTGGTGCAACGTAGGTGTTGAGAGTCAGCTCTTCGTGAAGTAGCTGAGTAAGTTTCAAAACCTTCTTCTCACTTGCGTAGAATTGGGCTTCGAAAGTATCGCGCTCTCCCTTGAGCTGTATCCAACTCCTTTGTAAATCTTCGAGTGATGTTGGCATGTCAGGATGTAGGAGGGTGTATGGAACCTCTCCTTCCATAACAGGCTCTATAATCACAGGGATAATGGAGGGGTAAGGCTCAAGAGGGATGGAATTCTTGTGTCCCAAGGTCTTACTGTCCACCTTGTTTGGCATCCTCCAAGCTCGGATGAACCTTTGTCGGAGTCCTTGATTGTCGTTGTCGAAGTCGAAAACTAATCCTTGAATCAGCATATCATGTGGGCCATCTCTTCAGGCATAACCAAATTGTCCCTGAGATATGCAAGGGTTGTAGGTGATGCCTCCCCTAATGCCAAGTAGAGGGACATTAGGGAACTCCCCACAACGGTCAATGATGATAACATTCTCTTTTGATCGAGAACACCAATGAATGTCTGAATGTGTAAGAGTCATCAATCGTTGTGACCACCTCAGACCTTTCTCATTCTTCAAGACTGACTGGGGAAGATGAGAAATAAACCATCTTGCCAGGAGAGGAGTGAAACACATGAGAACACCTCTTTTCCTCATTGTACGAGTGTGAAAAGAGTGGAGGATATCCCCAAGCAATGTAGGCATCAGGTTGCGAGTTATAAAGATTTTGACAGCACTCACATCTATGAGTTGGTCAGGGTTAGGGAACAAGACCATCCTATAGATGAGAAGAGCTACAATCTCCTCAAAAGTTTGCAAGTCTAGAGAATTCCAACAGCTTTGGGCCTTCTCAAACAGAAACTTTGACAAAAAGCCTTTGACACCACTTCTAGTTTCCCAATGTGTTGTGACATTATATGAGTGCAAGTGTAAGGCTTGAGCAATCTCTTCTGATTTTGGATCTCTTTCCGTACCGTTGAAGGGTAGTTGATTGAGAATAGGAATCCTCAAGAGTTGATAAAATTCCTCCAAAGTAGGCACAAGTTGGTAGTCAGGAAACGTGAAGCAATGATGTAAAGGGTCAAAGAACTGGAAGAGAACTTTCACCATATCCTCCTCAGTGTTGGTGGTGACTAAGTTGAGTATACGGCCATGCCTCTCGGTGAATGAAGAATTCTCAAGAATCCTTGAAGCTAGCTCCTTGAGTTGTGGAGAAAAACGCTTCCAACCAAGGGGCACGGCATGATCATCGTCCATCATCTGGGGAAGTCAAGTCAATATTCAAGGAATCTCTCAAGGATGCCAAATAGTCAGGAGCAGATCTCCATCTAAATCACTTGGAGCATTCTACATGAATTCCAACAATGAATCATGTACGATAAAACAAACATCTTTTGGCAGTGTGGAAACACTTAATACTATGGACAGTGACAATTCTCCGCACCCTGAGAGCGTGGACATAGTCAAAAAATACTGCGCATGAACAAAGACCCGCTAGGTTGACTGGCCTAGGAAAAAATAAGGGCATCCCGACGAACCAAAAGGGTTCGGGAAAAAATTAGGGATAAAAACAAAAAAGATCTGTACACCCGGCAAGTCGAAAACCTGAAAAGGAGGCTTGAGCAAGAAAGGGTATCCCGGTGGACTGAAAATATGAAAAGACAATCCAGGCAAAAGTTAGGGATTAAAGCGTACGACTATGTCCCGTTATCTTGTCACTTGCCTATCAGTAGAAGACTTATTATTCTGATCGACAGTTACCAAGCACCTCATAAGTTGGGATTACACTCAATCCACAAGGCCTCCGCGGGCACTTTCTCCAGCAGGTACAGAGGCAGAAAAGTCTTGATACGAAGTCATTGTCATATCCTCAGCATGCGTCCCAGTAACATACACTCCTTGCAGAGTAAGAAGTATCCAAAGACAGTTGTGTTAGATTTCCCGAAAAGGACACAACTCTCCCCAGCCGAGGTTCACAATCGCGAGTGAGTCGACAAAATTCTCCCCAAGAAGAGCTTGTTTATCACCAGCAACAGAAGTTCATCCCTAGCTGAGTTTATTTCTCCAAATCAGCTGATCTTCCAACAGAGTATCTCTCTTCCCCACAAAGTCATTCTCCCACAGGATTATTCTCAAACAGAGTCTCTCCCGGCAGAATATTCTCGAGCAGAACGGATGCAAATCTCCAGCTAATCATCTTCGATCACTATCCCCAGCGAGAACGAAGAGCTCAACTCCTTATACTCTCCATCAGCAGTCCAGGATTTATTCTCCCCAGCCGGAGAACATCACAAGAAAATTACACATCCATACATCATGGCATGCGTATATGCATCATACAACACAATCTCATTTATTTTGAGAACATCATTATTCAATACATTTCATACATCATGACGTTACATATGACTAACTCTTTACCTTTCAGGGAAAGATACAATCAAGTTCTCACAAGTTTTCTCTGGTTTAGTTAAATCGATACTAAGATTTCTATTCCAGTTCAAGCTATGAAGCCCGGATTCGACCGGATAATATCTTGATCTCTCCAAAATACTACGAAGTCTGGAATCGACCAGATAGTGGTATATCTTAAATTCAAAGAACATCCAAAGGAGTTTCAAGTTATATGATTCTTTCTCTTATTCAAAATTCAATGAGAGTTTAAAATTGCAAGCTTACAAGTGAAGGCAATTTAGGAGACAAGAGAACAATTCAAGAAGAATGCAAATTCTAAAATTTCAAATTACTTCATCAATTCTTTAAAGGATTAAACGTTACAAGAAATCTCAAGCCTTTCTAAACCTAAGCTTCAAGCTCTTACATCATCTCTTCAAGGCTTCATTCGAAATTCTCAAAGACTTCATTTGAAATGGTTCTTCATCCAAAATTCTCTCAACAACAATTTCAACAAGTTAATCAAAAATAGGGGGGTTAAGAATTAATTCCATGGTACATTATTCAAGCATAAGGCCCGAGATTAATTTCAATTAGTCTCACAAACAAAAATACAAAAACAATGATTATTGGACAAATTTGAAGGGAGATTTTCGTTGGGCTATTGAGAGGCATTTTCTAACACTTCATTTTTCATAAATTCTCAACCCAATCCAGAAAAATACTTTGTCCACCAAAGACCCTAATCTACATCACTATTTAAGCATTGATTTCAGACGGATTGAGGACTATTCATTCACGGAACAAATTCAAAAACTTAGAACAAAGAACCACACAAATAAAATACTCAACTCACCTGACCGGAAAACTTCCTTTCTCGCCAGAAATCTCTTGCCTCCGCTCGAAACTGACTTCGCGCCGACCGTTAGCCGTTCTCCCTTTGCCGGAACTCCTTTTTCGCCGGAAAGCCTCCGTCCTACACCTCCGGCATCCACCAAAACCCTCCGGAATACACACCATTTACCGAAGACCACCGCGTCGGACCTTTCTCCATCTCCGTTCTTCACCTGTTATACTTCAGAAGGTTGAGAATCTTTCTCCGATTACGAATCTACCCTCTAATTTCTTGTATTTGATTTAACTATTGGTTATTTTTCGTTTTAGATCTTCAAAGTTCTTTTGTAGATCTCTTACTCTTTGATCATGGTTTTCAAAAACCGATTTAAGATTCAGAAAGAGGAAGAGAATCCGAGTAAACCATGCAAAAAAAAAAATCTGAAAACTCTCTGTTACGACAGCGCCACCGTGAACTGGTGGTGGTCGCCGCCGTACTTCTCTTCTTCGCCGTGGTATTCATCCCCTCTCCGCCTTCTCTTTCCTAGTTTCGTTTGTTTTTTTGTTTGGGTTCTGTGTTAAAAAAAATAAAGAAGAGGAAAATAATGAAACGCTCGTGGTGATGATGTTTAAAGGAAGAGGGAGTTATGTTTGTCTTGGAAAATGAAAGAAATATAGTAATGTTGTTGGTTTTCCAACGTGAAGCAAGAGAGAGTTATGATTAATTGAAACAAAAAATCTGACTTTTGATTTTCTCTCTTTTGGTTTAACTCAAGAAAATATAGTATCCTCTTTTATCTCATCGGGATTTGTGCCGACGGTTTAGGTAATGACAAGTGGTCAGTTATCGGAGACGTTTGTCATCACATCTAAGAAGATAATAAATTTTGATTTTTTATATGTCAATCTATTTTATCTGCTGTGTACTATAGATCTCGATTTTGTGATATAATTACTGGACTGAAGTTGACTAGATCAGATTGTTGAGATTTATTCTAGTTTTACTTTCTTTAATTTTAATTTATTTTATTTTCTAAAATTCATAATAAATTTAATTTTCATTCAAAAATTCTGAAAAAATTCACAAAAATTATTTTCTTTATTTTTGACTTTCTGGAATTTTATTTTAATTTTTACTATTTTTAATCATTTTTCACTTATTTGAATGATTTTAATTAATTTAAAAATATTTTTTCTGTTACAAAAAATTACCAAAAATTTTGTAAAAAAATTTGAGATCACTTCTGACGTTTCTATGGTCTTTTTTAAAATTTTCTTTGATATCTTGAATATAGTTAGTTATTTTGTCTCTTATTTTCATTTAAAAAATAATTTAAAACTCATTTATCATTCTATTTTGCTTATAAAAACGCAATTTTATTTTTGTATATATTCTGGCTAATTTTGAACTATGAGAATTTTAATCATGGGCTTCATTAACATCATTTGATTTTGGGTGTTGAGTTTAACTCCGCCAAAATGGATGAATAATTTTATTGATAGCTTGATTTTAATTCTTATTTATTTCTTCTTTATCTTATTTCTTCTTGACTTTTCTTGTGCTATAAGTTTTATGAGTATGGTTTCTATCACATCTCTAACTTGTGTAGTACATACATTGTTATTGACCAGCCTCAAAATAGGTGCAACTTCTACATAAGTTCACTTACGATTGTTTAACATAGCGTTAAATTTGTCCCTATTGAAGAAATCATCATTCGTGGCCCAAATCTATGTTTGCAAGCCCAAGTATGTTTAGTTTGAAACCTTTGATCCAATAACTTTGAAGTTCATTGTTAGGAGGCTTTGATCTTATCAATGCTCTAATGAACCATCATAAACTTTGGTTTAAGCGAATCATTTAAACATCGTTGATCATATATTGTCGCTTCAAAAAATTGAAATGAATGATATACTTGACAAAAAGAAAATGAGACTTGTTGGTGAGAAGTTTTGATTTTATCAATCTTCTAATGAGTTCTCAAATGCAAGTTTTAAGATGGTCATTCAGCTAACCTCTAACTTTTAATTCATTAATAATTTACTTTATTTTTGTGCTTTGTGTTGTGTGCTTTTACTTTATGCCCTTTACCTTATGCTTTTACTTTCATGCACCATTTATTTTAGCATTTACATTTCATGATATTTTCATCTTTGCTCACTTGAGCTTTTCATTTTCTTTTTGAAGACACTTAATAATCAACTTGAACAATAAAAGGCCTTAAGATTACATGGACTATTTGTTTACTATCCCTGGCATAAAGGAGTGGTGAATTTCTCAGACTTAGGATTAGAAGCCTTTGATACCCTTAAGACCTTGTGGCTCTTATTGTTATTTTGTCTGGAGTTCTTGGGGTTTACCCTAAGACATTGGGTTGATTTTCTTTGTGTGCAGGTTATTTTGATTATATGCTTTGGCTATGATGGGGAATTTCTCAGTATACAGTCGTTACTCTGCTCAATTTTTGTGAAAACTTAATACATCTGAAGCTTGGTATCCTTAAGAGGTTTAGTATCTTTGCTTGCTTGGTTTCAATCCAAAGGATGAGAATTCTATATTTACTCTTTATGTCAAATGTTAGCTTCTTGTTGGTTAGACAATTCTTTTCCTTAACTTTTACCTTATGCTTTAGGATAGTCCCTTCATCTCCTTCCATCTTCTTAAATTTCAAAATCTTCTCCATCCTTTTCAAAACTCTTCTTATTTTCTAACTTGAACCACTTTCATAATAAACTTGGACTTAGGTCCATGCATTTTTTCAAAAAAAAAAATTCTTAATCAAACTTTAACCAACTTAATCATACTTTGACATTTTTGTGAGAAGACTAAAAGTCAATCAATCTCATTCAAACCATTTTGCCACTTAAGCTTTTCACTTTAAAATTTTCTCAAAAGATTAGACTCTCGTCGATCCTTGTAGTGATGCAAGCTACTATACTTCTATGATATGTAGTGAAGCGAGATATTTTTCACTTAAGTGTTAGCGAGGCTTTGCTGATTTTAAAATCCAAGTTATATCCTTCACTTTGAGATGATGCAGATTCTCCTTTCTCATAATCGTGGATAGTAAGTATATTTTCCACTCAGATATGACGATGATGTCTCGTCTCTTAAAATTAACCAACACACTTGTTTGTTTTAAAATTTTTAAAGTTGAACTACGAGTACCTTGATCCCCTATTGCACGAAATGTGATACGTAGGCACTAAAGGTTCGCAACTACGGCAGGAGCAAAAATTGTAAAAAAATACTTCTTTTCCCATCTCCACCATCTACTTTTTATACAACACTTATAGCCAAAATACATAAAATTTCAAAGAGGTTCCTGTGGAGTACCGTAGATGTTTAGGGTGCTAATACCTTCCCTTTGAATAACCAACCCACACACCTATATTCTTTCCCCCTTTTTTTTGGTTATTCTCTCTTTTCCAATTCCTTTTGAAATAATAAAGTGAGGTGGCGATTTTTATTTGATATGTGCGAGTCAAGTCAATCCAATGGCTTAGTCTCAGTATTTCTACCGCTACAAAAAAATGGTGACTTCACTGGGGAAAGATCGACCAAATGTTGGTCCATCTATAATTGGGTTGAGTCTATCTTTGTTTATTTGTGTATGTGCTATTATTTGTTGCATTTTATATGTTGTATATATGTTTGTCTGGATTTTTCTGTTTTTCAGGGTGCTTGGTGATTTCTCATAAGTCCTCTATCCGGACTTGGGTAAACTTAAGATAAGACTGGTGGTATAGTCATGTTAACTTTGAGGGAGTAATCCCAAAAAGAGAGACATGAGATCTCTCACTCAGTGGATACCCCTTTGACTGTAGTATTGTTTACCGAGTAATCAGGAAGACGTGCTGCTTTCGACCTGGGAGCCTGCTGAAGCTGAGGACTGTAGAACCCTTAACTCATCTTGGCGCCTTAGGTGTAGTGCATAAACTATGACGGAGTAATCCAGAAATTATTGTCACGTGATTCTACACTCAGACGAGTTTTTCCTGAGAATATTACTAATTATTGAGTTAATCGAGATATTGGTAATATCTGAAGGAAGGATGTAGACTCGGGGAACCTTTTAGATCCTTGTTCGGTAGGTGATAAACTATTAGTCCATACCAAGTGGGTAGTACCTTTGACTCCATGATCATGATGTCGGACCTATGAGTCCCCCATATTTGTGATCTTGTGTGTGATTGTTGCATCATGCATTCATGAACCCATGAGCATCCTTTAAAACATTTGTTTCAAGGGACTTAAAATTGACTTTTTTCAAATATGTCAGGTACTTTTTGACCATGGATTATGGAAAAAGAAAGACACTGAAGTACAATTTCAAGGATCCTAAGATAGATGAATTGATGAGTTTGATTCCTGAGATCGAGAGCTCTACAGATTTTCGGAAGAAGTATGGATCTATCGTGTCTCTTATGAAGCTCAAGATGAAGGGGGGTGTAATACAGTGGGAGACTGACTATGGATGTTTTGCGTTTGATCGCAATTGTTGCGGTTAGCAAGAGTCGCCACCGACTTTTCTTTTATCCAAAAGGAAAGGTGGAAAAGAACAGGAAAGACCTTTGAGATTATTTTCTTGAGTTCGGGGGGTAGATTATGAAAAGGGAAGGTATTAGCACCCTTTTCATCCATAGTTATCTATGGGATCTTAGTTTCTTGCTAGATCACTTGCTTTTGTTTGAAAGTGCGCTTTGTGATGGTTTTTGAAAGTATTTTTGAAAAGGCACCTTCGTTTAGGCGAACTTTGTAATGATTCTTGTTTCAGCGAGAATGTATACAAAGTGTTGGACTTTTGAAAATATTTTATGGAAAGTGTTGGTGTATTTGAAAAGATGTTTGTTTTTTAAAATGTTTGGTGTGTGTTTTGTTTTGAAAGTGAGCAAACAACTAGGAACGTTTCTACCTACTCAAAAATCTTTTGTTCATTTCTTCCTTCCTTTGATATTACTATCTCACTATTGATTGGTAAGAAGCCTTATCTTTGGATGTAAAAGGGACGGACATGGGTCATTGTATAGTCATGATAGCAATGTTGTGAGATATCTTAGCATTTCTCTTGATGGACTAAGATCATTTGTAAGGCAACATTCGTAGCGTCATCGAGGGACTATGATCTTGTATTTTTTATTGTTTTTGCTAAGACATTCCACATGCGTAACATGACCATTTTTTT